CATCATTGCATTGTCAAAATTTTCATGCCATTGTTTTGGTGCTTGTTTAAGTCCATACAATGACTTCACAAGTCTACAGACTTTGTGTTCTTGTCCCGGGACTACAAATCCTTCGGGTTGTTTCATATAGATTTTCTCGTCTAATTCACTGTTTAGAAAGGCTGTTTTAGCGTCCATCTGGTGGATTTCCAAATTTCTTAAGGCTGCAATTCCAATCAGCATTCTGATGGAAGTTATTCTCGTTACTGGAGAATAAGTGTCAAAGAAATCCAGACCTTCTTTTTGTCGGAATCCTTGCACTACAAGTCTAGCCTTATATTTATCAACTGAGCCATCGGTCTTCAATTTTGTTTTGAAGATCCATTTGCACCCTAGAGCTTTAAACCCTTCAGGTAACTCAGTGATTTCATATGTATGATTTTGTCTAATGGAATCCATCTCACTATTGATTGCTTCCTCCCAAAGAGGTGCATCGGAAGTGGACATAGCTTCAGTAAATGTTCTTAGTTCGTTCTCGGTGAGAAAGACCATCAAGAATTCAGGACCAAATGATTTTTCCTTACGAGCTCTTTTGCTGCGTCTAGGTTCAATCTCTTCGTCTTCTGAAGCAGGAACCCCAGATGTGGTTGCCTCATCTTCCCGAGGACGTTTTAGATTTTGTCTATTCTTGCACGGAAAAATGTGTTCAAAAAATGAAACATTTCTTGATTCCATTATTGTATTCACCTGAATATCCGGTACATCTTATTTGTGAACGAGAAACCGATAAGCACTACTGTTGCGTGCATATCCAATGAAAATACAATCAACAGTTTTTGGTCCTATGGTGACCTTTTTAGGAGGTGGCACAGCGACCTTTGCTAAGCACCCCCACACTTTCAGGTATTTTTACGAAGGTACTCTACCTGTCCATAGTTCATATGGCGTTTTGCCAGTTACTTTGTGCGGTATTTTGTTGAGGATATAGTTTGTAGTGAGAATTGCTTCCCCCGCCCCCCCCCCACAGATTATGGGGTAGCCCAGATTCCTGCAACATTGCATTCATCATCTCTTTAAGAGTTCGATTTTTGCGTTCCGCAACTCCATTAGATTCTGGTGAGTAGGGAGCGGTGGTCTGATGTATAATGCCTTTTTCTAGGCAGAAAATATTGAATGGACCATCATATTCGCCTCCTCTATCACTCCTAACAATTTTAATAGTTTTACTGAGTTGATTTTCAACTTCAGTTTTATATTCTTTGAATTTCTCCAAGATTTCATCTTTACTTTTTAGTAAATAGATGTCACAGTATCTTGTACAATCATCAATGAAAATTACAAAATACTTTTTACCTTCTCTAGATTGTACTACCTTTAAGTCGCACAAATCTGTGTGTATGAGTCCTAGAGGTTCGGTAGTTCGATCGACATGAGGAGATGGAGTTTTTGTGAGTTTTGCATGTACGCATGTCTCACATTTATTTTTGCTTATTTTGCATTTGGGGATTAAGTTCGAATTTATTAATCTTTGTATAGATTTATAATTCACATGTCCTAATCGTTCATGCCATAAATCAAAAGACTCAACCAAGTAAGAAGATTCATTCTTATTAATTGAACTGGTAGAAGGTACATCATTTTTGAGGACAGTCATTACACACATTTTGATTAAGTCCTCCTTAACATAACCCTTCCCAATAAAAATCCCATGTTCCTTAAAATCAGCTGGTTAGATCCAATGCGGACGTCGAATACGTACTTGTTGATCATGGTTCCAGAGATCAGGTTTTTCCTCATTTTTGGCACATGCTTCACATTGGTGAGAGTGACTTCTTTTCCCGAAGTCATCTTTAAGACCACATTGCCTATGCCTTCAATCTTGGAGTATGACTCATTTCCCATCAACAAGTGCGCATTGTTCTTGCATTTCTTGTAGGTTGAGAACTGGTCTTTGTCCATGCAGATGTGAGTGGTTGCACCAGTGTCATACCACCACGTTTTTGGGTTTGGCTCAACCATGTTGACTTCTGTGACCATTGCACACAGATCAGTTTGAGTCAAGTTGGCTTGACCTTTGTTGTCCCTCAGCCTGATTCGACATTCATTGGAGGTGTGTCCCTTCTTGTTGCAATAGGTGCACTTCCCAACAAATTTGGTTTTGGGAGTTTTCTTTTTGAAGGAAGTGGATGATGATGGAGCAAACTTGTTTTGCCTTCCTTTGGGAGGAAATTTCCCGTTGCCTTTGACTTTCCCTTTTCCCTTGTTCTTGAACTCTGCTACATTCGCATTGTAGGAGTGAAATGGTTCAGGGTTCACAGGCGCGGCAGCTTTTACCTCTCATTTCAAAGACTCATTTTGCAGCCTGGAAATCAGATTTGACAAGGTCATAGACTTCTGCTTATGATCCAGATAGTTTCTGAAGTCTACCCAGCTAGGAGGTAGCTTGTCGACGAAGCAATTCACTATGAAGGTTTCACAGATCTTCATTCCTTCATCAGCGATTTCTTGACAAATCATCTGAAGTTCATGGACTTGTTCCATGATGGGCCTTGAGTCCACCATCATGTACCTCGTAAATTTGGAGGTTGCATACCTTCCAGAGGATACATTGAAAGTCTTGTAATTCTTATCCAAAGCTTCCCAGAGATCCTTGGACGACTTGATTTCACAATAGACATTGAACAATTGGTCAACCAAGCGGCTCTGGATGTAGCCTTTGCAAAGGAAGTCCCCATGGACCCATGCTTCAACGCTTGCAACAGCGCGCACATCAGTATTTCCAGCGGGCAAAGCAGGTTTGTCCTCGGTGAGATACCTATCCAAATGCAGTGTGCAAAGGAAAAAGTGCATCTTTTGCTGCCACTGTTTGAAGTTGGTACCATCAAACTTATTCGGTGAGATACCTGCAACGATAGCACTGGGTAAAGTCGAAATGTTTGTGGGCAGGGATCCGAGTGCTGCATCTCCAACCGCTAAGGGTGTTGATTCAGCGACATCCTCTTGTCTTCCATCAACGGATTTCTCCACATTTTTCGACATCTGTTCCAAAAAAGAGACAGAAAAATGTCAGATTCGTTGAATAGAATCGATAGAATGGCGATTAAAAATAAGAGTCGCTAATTTATGCGTTCTGCGGAAACGCTATAGAGCGCTCGTAGAATCGCGTTTGAGTTTTGAACTCGAAAAAACGTTCACGGATTTAACCGAGACGATTTACAGACACGGAAAGGAAGTTATAAAAACTGTCCTTGTGTGGTCCAATAGCGTTTTGCGTAACTTGCCAAAGGCCTTCACGGAAACGGTTTCTTGTTTGTAAAAACAAAACATTTTTTCCTTAAAACGTTTTCTGAAATCGTTTTTAAAGCAATATAGGATCCGATTCAAGCGATAAGCAGGATCAGATTACTTTTGAATTAAGACTGTAGGAAGTAAATTTTGAGGAGACAAATATTACAATATAAGAAAACGATTTGAGACACAAAGAAAACGTTTTATAAAATCATATTAAGGAAAAACGAGAAGTGGAGGCGAGATGATCTCTTTCCTTAATTCAAAATATCTCCCGCAGTGTGGCGGTTGGATGAGATAATGAATCTCAGGATACAACCACTGATATTCGTATAATCGCAGCACCCGATTATAGAATGTGACGAACTTAAAATTCTACGATATACTCTCGGACACTTACTCTTGAAAGAAGAAAAGAAACGCGAGAGATTGAGGAAAAGTGTGAACGATTTTTCTCTGTAAAATTTTTGTAGAGAGCGATTAAAAAAGGAAGATGAGAAGTCGATATATATAGCGAAGGAGAGAGGAGCGTCGCACTTAATCAGCATGTTAATGATGTGATTAATTGTGTGCTAATGACGCGATATGGGCGTTAATCTTGGCGTGATTTTCGGAATAGACATTTGACTACAGTTTAATGTCGTAATTCTGTAGGAATTTGAACCCGGCTCGGCTCGGCGGCGGCGGCGGCGCGCAAGAGGTCCTTGGTTCTCCTTCACACACTTTGAATTATGTCATGTGTGTGTCTATATTTATATGACTCAAAAAATTTTCAATCCTCCAATGTGGGACAAAATGATGTTCCTCACATTTTAAGTTGCCTTGAAAGACTTTATTTTTATTCACACTTAACCAAATTTTAAAGCCTTTGGACTTTGTAATAATTTGGGTCCAACAAAGCCCACTATTAAAGGAGGTTTAGAATATTCTCTACTTCCATTATTTTTTAGGTTTTAGCTTTCACTCCAAGTTTTTGTAAACTATAAATACCTCTCATTATTCATAGAATAAGACACAACAATTTCTCTCTTTTCTCTTTGTTATTCACAACATTCGGTTGTTTTTTTAATTTTCTCAATAAAATGGTATGCATTAGTAAAAAAACTGAAAAAAAAAAATTAGATGCCGCTCAATATATTATTTTAATGGTCTCGTCGGTAGGTGCATATTAAAGTCACGTGCGTTTATCATTAAGACATAAACTATGTAATCTAAAACATAAAAAGAAAACGACGAAAGTTGCATTGTAAATTTAAATCAAAAGAACATTTTTTTATTCATGAATCGACTTAGTATAACGACAAAAGGCCATAAACCTTTGGTTGGTCACTTTTGCTAGTCAATAATCATATGAAAAAAAATTTTTGGAGAATATTAGTGAATTAACAAGGGTTTTCAGTAAAACCAAAATTAAACTGTAAGCCGAAATTGTCAACACTTGGACTCAATTGGTATACTTGACTAATTGTATTACAGTTGAAGTTGTATCTTCTATTTGTCTTGTTTATGTTGGTGTATCTCTCTGGTGACTAATTCGCAGTGATGCGATAGAAGAGCCATGCCAACAATTTAACGAGTATGTCAAAGAGCAGAAGAGGAGACAAAGATGATGAAGCAGAAGCAGTCTTTCCATGCATCATCTGCATCTTACCCAATCTTTGTGTTCAAGAGAGAGTTGTCTTGACACAGGACGTGTTGGATGGGTTGAGAAGGACCAACTATCCGTCGAGGTTGTGAATTTAGGTGAGACGATAATTATCAGGATTGTTGCATCCAACCCACAAGAAGAAAGACGTATATTTAGAAGATAACATTTTTTATTCATTAATCGCCTTAGTATAAAGGACAAAAGACCAAACATTTTGGTTTGGTCACTTCTGCTAATCCAATAATCACATGAAAAGAAATAAATGAAGTAAGGATTCAGTATTAACTATTCAGTCATTTGTTATTTTTTATATACTTTCTGCTGATGAAAATAAGGATGCAAGAAACGAACTCCTTCGAGGTACAATGGAGTCTGCATCTCAATCAACCGCGACGCCTGCACCGTCAAAACATAATTTGCCAAATGCTGTAAAACCATTGTTTGGACCAAAAAGAATATCAGAAAGTGAGAAAATTATACTTACGGCTCGTGCAAAGGCAAACATTTCCTCTTCACCAGAGAGCATTTTCACGATCGAAGAAGGCGAGCCAGCAGAACTTATGCTACCTTCTGCAAGCACATCTCTCCTTAGTCTCGAATCTTCTGTCTCCGTCTCAAACTGGAAGCTGCAAGTTTCCGACAATATAAATATTACAACACATAAAACTAACCCATCTAGTAAATCTTATGTTTGTCAATTATGTTTTACCTTTCGAGGTCGAAGAGTGTACCCTCTGCAGTTCCTTGAAACAACTCATCAATAGGTGTCTCCGCGGACGAGACAAGACAACAATGGTGGTTGTATAGCTCATCCACAAGTGTTATAAACCTACGTGCCTGAGAACATAAACAAAAGCCTTTCAGAAGAAAGAATCCAAAGACTTCTAAAAGCCACAAATCTTGATTTGCGTTATAATACCTTGTCACGTATTTCCATGCTCATTGCTGGAATCTCAGAGATAAAGATTGTATGATAGTTTTTGGCTACTGCGATATAATCTGCTGCACCAATTGGTCGACCACATAGATACTCGAATGTGAATCTTGCCACTCCATTACAGCTTTCAGGAACTTCCACTGTTCTGATAATTCACACACCAAAACAAAAAAGACATTGAAATTTAATTTGATTCATAGCAAAAAGAAAAGCCATTGCTCTGATTAGTACCTTCCAAACATCACTGGGAGAGTAGCAGAAGTTATTTTTCCACCGTACTGGTCAGTGACCTGACGCCACATTTTCTCAAACTCTTCCAGAACAACGTTATTCAAAGGCCATAAGTAGTGAACCTATAAATATATTAAATACACATTTACAATTTTCATCAAACGGAAGCACAATGAACTCAACAAGAAATGATGCAAAGAGTCCGTGATTCACACATTTTCAACCGAGTTCTTTGCTGCTACTCGGCGGTAATCTACTTCACTTCCAATCGAGATTATCTCACAATGTTTCTCCAATTTAGAGATAAACTTATCAAATATCTCCTTCTGCATTCCGTCCTGTACCAACAACATAAGCGAGAAGATTAGAGACTCGGCGCAAAAACTCCGGGTAATAAAGAAAAATGTCCTCCATGAATTTTTTAACAACTTTCAACCATAGAGACTTTTTTTGCTGAAAGAGAAGATGAGAAAGAAACCTGATTTAACTCCCGTGGTGCTCGGTTACTGGTGGCCACAAGAACAGTTCCAGTAGTCAACAATCTGCTCATAACTCCAGATAAGGCCACAATAGCAAACACATCAACTGTCTGTAACAGAAGATGCAAGAAAGTCCAAGTTACCGAAAAATAATGAACACTGTTTGCAACTTCACCAGAGGCTCAAAAATAGCAAATCAAGTCTCATGTAAGCCCTTGTAAACACCAAATTGGCTTTATGAATTCTGAGTGATATAAGTAATTAGCGAGCCAAGGTTTTAACATTTCATTACTTTCTCATAGTCAACAATCTATCCTGAGAAGAATGAAATTTTCTTTAAATACTTCATTACCTGAATCTCGTCGAAGCAGAGGATGCTAGCTCCTTTTTTACTCGATTGCTGATCAACGAGAAACTTATCAGCCACAGCTGGAAGAATGTGTTTCATTTGGAGTTGCTGCTTATAAAACTCTTCTCCAGCTAGCCATTCCTTAACTTTTTCATCAACAGGAAGATTCATAATCCAGCTCGAAATGCTATATTGCGAGGACTTCTCTTCACCGTTCTCCTTCCAATACTTGTGCATTTGCTCATTTATCTTCAACATAGCCTACGGAATATAAACGCAATGCAAAAACATCAGAGCTTGGATTAAGCTATTTAATTTAGCCACAAAACAAAAGAACCTCTTTAAGGCTCAACCTCGTGAAAGTGAAACCGTTGTCGATGTCTGATCATCCCATCAGTGGCACCATAAAACATATCCATCAGCATAGTCTTGCCTACACGAAAAAAAACACAAACCGCCGTCTCACTAGCTAACCTTAATGGCTACAGGATCAAGAATATGAAAGTAAACAATAACCATTAACATACCACATCCTACATTTCCATAGATATATAATCCTTTAGGAGCTTGAGGTACTGCAGGACGAGAACCGACAATTGAGTCCAATCTTCTCTCTCGGTTAAGGTAAGAAACCCATTTACCAACTCCAGGTTCTACATTCATCTTTCTTCGCCTAAATACCACCAAATAGATAAAACCATTTAAAAAAGAAACATTCTTTCAACTAAGGAAATAATCTCTCAACTAAAGAGAGATGCCATTGACATTCTTTCTTTTCAACTAAAGAAACAATCTTTCAACTAAAGAAAGATGCCATTGACAAGGAAAAAACCTCACCCTAATACCCATCTTCCTAAAAGCTTTTGCCCATGTTTATTCATTGAAGCCCACATTCCATCTTCTTCCTTCTTCTCAGCTTCTTCCACCATTAGTCTTCGTCGCTCTTCCTCTCTCTTCTTCTCCCACTCTGCTAATCTCACCTGAAAAACCAAAATGGATAAGCAAACAATTGAACCAAATCCTAAAGAGAGTCCTGAGCATAATCTTACATGATAATCCTCCATTTCCTTCTCAAAACGTTCCAATCTTCCAAACAAATTATCGAATGCGGAAGCAACTTTCTCTTGGTACGGATCATGTTGCAGCCTCCCTTGTTCAACTAGCTTACTGTAACTCGTCAGTGGACCTGACAAGGAGCAATTCCAATTGAGACAAAGATTTGCAAAACCGAAATTGAAATTTGTGTAATGAGACAATACCTGATGTTTTGGGAGGATCAGAGGTGCAATAGGAACGAGCAATGAAGTGGGAGCCATTGGAGAGTCTTCTTGATGAAGAAAACCCTAGACGTAAAACAGCAGAGATCTGTGAAATCTTTGGCATTGTTTGCTCCGACCTCCGACTATGGTTTTCTTCTCTGAAGGTAGCTTCCCATCACGGTTTAGCTACTGTTTCGGAAAACGGAAGAGGAGAATCAGAGCTTTTATAAATAGGTGTCGACGTGACGTCATAAGAGAGAGCCACGTGGTGGAATATAGACCGTTTGTTGAATTGCCGACTTGGCCTACCGATGTCCGTGTAGATTTGTTTAAATTAGTGTAGAACTTGTAGATGTCAAAACTTGGATGCTAATCTACCAAACCTCGATGTGGTCCGGTCCGTGATAGATATCTAATGTCTGTTTGATGCGGTTTAAACAATAGATACGTTTACACTTTATGGCTCTTTTTGAATTCTTGAATACAGATTATAGCCTGAAATAGCATTTTATTTAAATTTAGATAAAGAAAATAACATAACTGACTTTACTCATTTAAAATGAGAATATATCGGTTTGATTTAAATGAACTTAACCAAACAAAACCGAACAAAACTAAACCAAGCAAATCCAAAATATGACATTTAACGTTGTTTTGTAAAAGTATGCAGACCATCTCTCAGCTTCACTGAAACAAATCCAATATAATTGGATCTAAGAGTTTGGGTTTCATATGATTTTTTCAGTATTTCTAATAAGCCATTCATTATATGTGAGACGTGAGAAGAAGCAGAATCAAGAAGAAGGGAGCTGAATTAGCTAAGAAGACACGTGGAGGCAGTTTATAAGAGTATAAGTGTGAACAGTGTGAACACTAGTGTATACACTTAGAGTATAAATAAAGAGTCGTTGTTTACATTTATGGTTATGTTGAATTGTGTATAGAGTAGCGATATAAGCTACAAGATTCTGTTACAGCCGTTATGAGAGTGTACAAATTCTGATACAAGAAGAGATATCTTATATTCTATACATAATCAATATACATTGCATTTACAGTGAGAATTACTAGCAAATTCTACCAAAATGGTGCGTAGTGACAAGATCGAAGCCTCGCAGAGAGCAAATACCGATAGCGAAATGGGAAGCAAAGACATTGACGGAGGAATTTCATTGGTGAAAAGGAATTGTAATTTCTTTATGGCAGATTCCAGCGGTTGTGCAACACAACTACAGCGACAGAAACTCGTATGGCGGAGCTTGATTCGAAGCTCGATTCGATATTATCGGCGATCCAACAACAATCACGCCTTCCGGCAAGATCCGACGGTGGTGCAAGACCAATCGAAATTCTGGAATCATCACAAGTCACAAATCAGGTACACAACTCTAATCTGGGAAAGAACCGGAATGATTATCTGTTAGGTTATCGGCCAGGTCATTCAGATCTTGCAAATAGAGAGAGAGTCTGTTGAAGAAGATTGAGATGCCGATTTTCGATGGAACATCACCGTATATGTGGATTCTGGACGCTGAACAGTTTTTTCAGTTAGGAAGATACAACGATGACGCGGAATTGAATTTGGTAGCGTTGACTCTGATTGGGAAAGTAAAGAAATGGTATATGTGGGTGAGAAAACGTCAAGAATTTCAAAGCTGGAGAGATTTTCTGGACAAGATGTTGCTCAGATTTGCAGATAAATTGGAAGATGAACCGGGTAAGAGATTGTATTCGATCAGAAAAACGGGTTCAATCAGTGATTACGTAAGAGAATTTGAGGATCTATCATCACACGTACCAGAAGTTGATGATAAAGGATTTGAGGACATCTTCTACAATGGCTTAACACAGGAAATAAAAGAGGTCATCAAGATGAAGGAACCAGAAAGCTTAGCTAATCACATCGCAGCAGTTTTAAAAATGAAGAGCAGTGTGTTTTGTAAAGTTGTGGGAGAAGTGAACAGAAAGGATACTTTGAATCCGAAAGCAGTGGGGTTCCAACAGAAACACTACAGCTCATTCATCAATAACAAGTCACATGAGATTCAGCCTTTCAAATCCAAGGTGTTACAGATCGAGAATAACGAGAATAAAGATCTGCAAACAACTGAGAAGCAACAGTTGCGACCAAGACAGAAGTTTTCTGATGCTGAGCTGGATTTGAAAAGAAGTAAATGTTTATGTTTCAAGTGTGATGCCAAATGGTTCAGGGGTCATAAGAACGTTTTCCCAAAGAGAGAACTTCAGGTGTTAACAGTTTTGAATGGATTTGAAGTGGAAGTTTTAGATGAAAATATGTTTGAATTCAATGAAGAAGAAGTGCCGGAAGGCGAGTTAATGCATTTACCTCTTAATGCATTTTTGGGAATTAAGTCTCCCAAGACAACTAAGATTCCTGGAGCAATTGGGAACACTACCGTGATCATAATGCTTGACAGTGGAATCTCTCACAATTTCATTGCTCCATCAGCAGTGTCACGAGCAAAGTTATAGGTTACGGAAAATGCAGCTTTGGATGTGTTGTTAGGAAATGATCTTCAAGTGAAAGGACTGGGAACGTGTAACAAAGTGAGGTTCACATTATCCGGCTTTGAATTCACTACGTATTTCATAGCACTAGAATTGGTAATGTGGACGTGATCTTGGAAAATGTTTGGTAGATTGGAAGAAGCAAGAGTTCTCATTCCAATATCAAAACCAATGGATAACACTATATGGCAACACCAGCTTACATAATCAGCAAGTATCTCTTAAATCGTTTAGCACTCCACCAGTAATCAAATCGAAGGGAGTGTTATTAAATTTTAATGAGACACCCACAGAAGAAAGGAAGGAGTTAGAAATGCATCTTGCTATATCTGAACTGTTAAAGGAATTTGATCACTTTTTGAAATTCATATGTGATTACCACTTATACGGGTTCAGGAGCATACATCACATTGGTAAATGGAGTTGGACCAATCAATGTGAGACTGTATAGGTATCGGCATATGCATAAAAAAGTCATGGAGAACATGGTGAGGGAGATGCTAGAGGCCGGGACCATAAGACAGAGTGTGAGTCCGTACTCTAGCCCTGTCATATTAGTCAAGAAGAAAAACGCAAGTTGGTGCTTCTGTATTGACTATAGGGCATTAATTTGAGCCACTATCCATGAAAAATTTCATGGAGTATTAGTCTTCTTGAAATTGGATTTAAGATCGGGTTACCATCAAATCAGGATGAAAGAATCTGATATCGAGAAGACAGCGTTTAAAACGCATGATGATCACTACGAGTTCGTTGTCATGCCCTTTGGCCTGACAAATGCACCAGCGACATTTCAATCGTTCATGAATGACCTGTTTTGCTTGTTTTTTAGAAGTTCATACTAGTATTTTTTTTATGATATACTAGTCTGCAGTCAAAGATTGGAGGAACATAGAGACCATCTGAGAGTTGTATTGAAAGTTTTTGCAGATCATCAACTCTTTGCAAATAAAAAGAAATGTTTATTTGCTAAAAAATTTGTGGATTACATGGGACATATCATTTCTGCTGAAAGAGTATCTACAGATCCAATTAAAACACCGGCAATGAATCTTTGGCCAACACCTCGAACAGTTAAATAGCTGAGGGGATTCTTGGATTAACTGGATATTACAGGCGTTTTGGGAAAATCTATGGTCAGTTGGTCAAACCCTTAATATAATTGCTGAAGAAAGACAGTTTTTTTGTGGTCACGGACAGCTCAGTTGGCATTTGATACGTTGAAGAAGGCCATGGTTTCAGCTCCAATTCTTGCATTACCGGACTCCATCGAGAAGTTTGTAGTGGAAACATATGCTTTGGGTTTTAGACTGGGAGCCGTTTTGATGCAGAAACAACGGCAGATCGCTTATTTCAGTTGTGCTCTAACACCAAGAGAGCAGTTGAATTCAGTTTATGAAAGGGAACTTATGGCTATTGTTCTTGCTATAACGAAATGGAAACATTATCTGCTAGGCCGAAAATGTGTGGTTTATACAGATAAAAAAAGCTTGAAATTCTTATTGGAACAAAATGAAGTAATAATGGAGTATCAGAAGTGGTTAACACGGTTGCTGGGATATGATTTTGAGATTCTGTACAAACCAGGAATTGAGAATAAAGCCACAGATGGGTTGTCTAGAAGTTTGCAAGCACCTCTGGATTCTGTCAGTGCTTCTCTTTTGGCTTTGATGATTCTGACAGTCATTCAGCTACAAGACATATTTTTCAAAGAAATTGCAGAAGACAAGTGGATTCAGGAAATGATTCAGAAGATTCAGACTGGTGAGATTGTTAAACAAGGATATGTGGTGGCAGATGACAAATTGTGGTATAAAAGACGTTTGGTGATTTCAGCTACATTGAGTTATATACCGTTGATTTTATTTGAGCTACATGAAGGTCCAGCGGGAGGACATTCAGGAGTTTTATAAAAAAATTGAAACGACTACAAAGATCATTTCAATGAGAAGGGATGCGTGGAATGATACAAAAATATGTCTCAGAATGCAATCTGTGTGATGCTAAGAGAATCAAGGATTACTTCTAGCTTCACGTTTTAAATTTATAACCTTAAATATCTGCAAGTGCACAGATGTACGCTGTAGTATTTAGGGGTCGAACCACAGAGATTTTGAGCTTTCAGTGCGAATCAATCAAGACTTAAGACTAGCAGAACAAGCAAATAGGGGTTTTTGGTTTTGGTGTCACTAAATCTAAATGTAAATCGAAATAAACAAGTTGTAAAAAATAAGAAACAAGTGTTAGTTTCAAAGGGTTTTCGCAGGGGTTTATGAACTGATCAAAAGACATACAAATCGATAAAGATAATCATCTAGGGAGGATCCCAAACTAGAACAGACACATATAAGATTAGTCAACTGTCGTCACCCTAATCATCTAATCACTCAACACAGAAATTAACTCTCGCTCTCATGCTGCGAATAAGATCATGCATTATAAACAGAATTCATCCACGCTCACGATTATCTACAGGTAGCTTTCGTCTCCTGTAGCAAATTCGCTCGATCACTTCTAGGTCTGGTAATTCGATACAACACTCTCGTGGCTCCAATTACTGAAATCAATTTCTAAGCAGCTAGCAACAGAAACAGCATAGTGAATAAGAATGAACGAAGATATCCTAGAAGATCAATAACCCTAAATCGAATAAAGCATATA